AATATTATGGTATTAGTTTTTCTTCACTAACTATCTATCTTTGAAATTTTCTTTAGTTTAGTTATCAATTACTAACACTACATTAGGAATTATTGTAATATTTTTTTACTTTCAAAATTTTAAGTAGTTTATGACCCGCTCTTCTACAAAAGAGTTGGCTAATTACGATCCTGAAATTGAAATATCTCTTTGATTGCGCAGGAAAGGACACACATTATCTTTTCAAAGATAACTTGTGACATAATGGAGCATCTATTAGAAGATGATAACAATCTACCCAAAGTACCACTACCAGTCCATTTAGAAGATCAGTTTGATGAAGTGGCGCCAAGACCAGCAAACAGAATCCTAAGGGATTATGCTAGACCTGACCGCTTTAACTGTGAATCTAGTGTCAGGAAGCCTCCAGTGGCAGCCAACAACTTTGAAATCATGACCGGCCTGATTCAAACAATTCAACAATCTTGTATGTTCACTAGAGATTCAAGTGAAGATCTACACAATTATTTAATTGATTTTATGGAACTTGTTGAAACTGCTAAGTATAATGGAGTACCTCCTGAAGCTATCAAGTTAAGGCTATTTCCTTTTTCTTTAAAAGGAGATTCCAAAACATGGTTGCGAAGTTTACCTCAAGGGTCAATTACCACATGGGACCAGATGACTCAGAAGTTTTTGAATAAATATTTTTCTCCTGCTAAAATAATAAAGTTAAGGCAAGACATATCTAATTTCTTACAGACTGATACTGAGTCAGTTTATCAAGCTTGGGAAAGATTAAAATCAATGTTAAAAAAATGCTCGCACCATGATATTCCTGAACACATGCAATTGTATATTTTTTATCATAGGTTAAAATCCTCTTCTAGAAATGTGATTGATGCAGCTGCAGGAGGTTCTGTGATGGGAAAAAACATAAAAGAAGCATTGCAGTTATTGAATAAAATTTCTGAAAATGCCATTCAATGGCCATCTGAGCATGTAATCATCAAAAGGGACGCTACGGTAAATCAAGTTGATGCTTTAAACATACTAATACAATAGATTGTTGCTTTGGCACAAAAATTTGAATCTTTTCAGGTGAATACAAAACAACCAAGCCAGTCTGAGGCTTGTAATATGTGTGGAGGAAACTATCTGAATCATGAATGCCAAGCAATCAATCAAAATGACGAACAGGTCAATGCAATTGGTTACAAGCAATAAACCTTTGGAAGTCAAATGGCACATAAACATCCATGATTTCAATGGAGCAATCCAAATGGTGCTAAGAACTCTCAGAGCTTCCAAAAGCCACAATTACAAGGTCCACCTGGTTACCAAAATCAAAACCATGGGCAACCAAATTTCAGACCTTATCAACAAGCAGCTCCATATCAGCAAAAGCCTCAACAAGTACATCCAAGTCTTGATGACCTTTTGTACAAATACATTAAGGTCACTAGTGAAAAAATGGAAAGCCAAAATTCAGCCCTTAAAAATTTGAAAATCCACTCGAGCCAATTGGCAACTCTTGTGTCAGAAAAAATTCAAGGCCCCTTACCAAATAATACGGAGAAAAACCCAAAGGAACACCTTAAGGCCATTTCCTTAAGATCAGGTAAGGAGCTTGATGAACCCAATACTGTCAGACAAGAAAAGAACCTGTCAAAACAACAGGTAAATAAGGGTAAGAATTTTGAAACACCCTCTGAACAATTAGAAGATAAAGAAGTCAAGAAAAATGATGAGAAGAATATTGAAAAAATGACACATTTCCCTGTGACAATTCCTTTTCCATAAAAAAATGAAAAGCGAAAAGCTTGATAGTCAATTTGCAAAAATTTTAGAGATTTTAAAACAGATTCACATTAATATTCCTTCTACTGATGCTTTGTTGCAAATGCCTTCTTACACCAAATTCCTGAAAGAAATTTTGTCAAGAAAAAGGAAATTAGAAGAAGTTTATGTGGTATTGCTAACGGAAAAATGTAGTGCTATACTTCAAAATAAGCTACCGCAAAAACTGGGTGACCCAGGCAGTTTTACAATTTCATGCACTTTAGGAGGAATGTATTTTGAAAAAGCACTCTGCGATTCTGGAGCTTCAATATACTTGATGCCATTTTCTCTTGGTGACTTGAAAGATTTTGGTGTCTCTCTTCAATTTGCAGATCAGAGTACTAAGAAACCTAAGGGAATAATTAAAAATGTACTTGTGAGAGTAGATAAATTTGTTTTCCCTGTAGATTTCATAGTGCTTGAAATGAAGGAGTGCCATGATGAACCAACTATTTTGGGTAGACCATTTCTTGCTATATGTAGAGAAATTATAGATGTCCATCAAGAAAAACTAATTCTAAGAGTTGATGAAGAAAGGGTCATTTTTGACATGCAAAAGATACTAAGATTTTTCGGAGATGAATCATCATCTTCATGCGTTTCAATTGACATGATTAGTTATCTTACAGATGAATTTATAGACGATCAATTAACTCCAGACTCAATGGAAAGATGCATTGCCAAATCAGGCACCATACAAGATGATAATCCCACCATCAGAAGAGAAACTGAAATATTAGAAAAGGATTATGAGGATTAGGAGATGCAACCAGAAGAAGTTCTGCCAAAAACCGATTTCAAAATTCTCTCGTCTCATTTAAACTATGCATATATTGAGAAAGAACAATGTCCAATGATTATTTCATCTTCTTTGACTCCAGAACAAGAAGAGAGATTTATTGAAGTCTTGAAAACACACAAAGGAGCCTTAGGGTGGAAAATAGCAGATATCAAAGGGATTAATCCAGTTGTTTGTACTCACAGAATCCTCATGGAGGATAACTATAAGGCAATAGTCCAACCCCAAAGGAGATTGAATCCAGCAATGCAGGAAGTGGTAAAAAAAGAGATTGTAAAACTTCTGGCGACAGGTATCATTTATCCTATTTATACAGTCCTTGGGTAAGTCCTGTTCAGGAAATGCCAAAGAAAGGAGGTATGACAGTTATTAAAAATGAAAATAATGAACTCATACCTACCAGGACTATCATAGGATGGAGAGTCTGTATTGATTACAAACATCTCATTGATGCTACTAGAAAAGATCATTTTTCTTTGCCATTTATTAATCAAATGTTGGAAAGAATTATAGGATATAGGTTTTATTGTTTTCTTGATGGCTATTCAGGGTATAACCACATATCAATTACACCTGAAGATCAAGATAAGACAACCTTATGTCCACATGGAACATATGCTTATAGGAGAATGCCATTTGGTTTATGCAATGCCCCTACTATATTTCAGCGTTGCATGTTAGCAATTTTCTCTGACATGACCGATAAATTTCTCGAGATTTTTATGGATGATTTTACACTCTTTGAAAAAATATTTGAGGATTGTCTTTATCACTTGACTTTAGTTCTTAAGAGATGTGAAGAGACAAACTTGATTCTTAATTGGGAAAAATATCATTTTATGGTTGATGAGGGAATTGTTTTAGGACATAAAATTACTGCTCAAGGGATAGAAGTTGATAAGGCTAAAATTGATCTTATAGCAGGATTATCCCCTCCCACAACTATTAAAGGCATTAGAAGTTTTCTAGGTCATGTAGGTTTTTACAGACGGTTCATAACAGACTTTTCAAAGATTTCAAAACCACTGACTAACCTCTTGATGAAAGATACTAAGTTTAATTTTTCAAGTGATTGCCTAGATGAATTTGAGACCCTTAAGAAAAAGTTATCAACTGCCCATGTAGTTGTGTCTCCTGATTGGAATCAACCTTTTGAGGTTATGTGTGATACTAGTGATATAGCAGTAGGAGCTGTTTTAGGCCAGAGAAAAGATAAGATTTTTCGTCCCATTTACTATGCTAGTACAAAAATGAATGAGGCTCAACTTAATTATGCCACAACAGAGAAAGAGTTACTAGCAGTAGTATTTGCATTTGATAAATTTCATCCATATTTGATTGGAACTAAGGTCGCAGTTTTCACTGATCATGCAGCTTTGAAATACCTCTAAGCAAAGAAGGATGCTAGACCTAGGTTGTTAAGATGAATTTTACTTCTGCAAGAATTTGATCTTAAGATAAAAGATAAAAAGGGGACGGAGAATCAGGTAGCTGGCCATTTGTTTATATTAGAAAATCCTCCCCTTGAGTTTAGTGAGATAAAGGAAGAATTTTCTGATGAACATATTTTTTGAATTGACTCAGTGATGACTCAACCACCCTAGTTTACAGATATTGCAAACTACTTGGTTAGAAAGTGAACATCCCAAGATCTCTCGTACCAACAAAGGAAAAAACTTATATCTGATGCAAAGTATTATCTATGGAACGAACCTTACTTGTTTAAATTTTGTGCAGATAATATAATTAGAATATGTGTGCCTGAAGAAGAGATGACCAAAATTTTATATCACTGCCATGATGGAGCAATTGGAGGTCATTATGCAACAAATCGAACAACTTTTAAGGTTTTGGAAGTTGGATTCTTCTGGCCGACACTCTTTAAAGATGCCCGAACATACGTTGCACAATGTAATAGGTGTCAGAGAATAGTTAACATCACTAAAAGAGATGATATGGCATTGCAATCTATACAGGTATGTGAAATATTTGATATTTGGGGAATAGATTTCATGGGACCTTTTCCTTCATCTCACTCTTTTAAATATATTCTTGTGACTGTGGATTATGTGTCAAGATGGGTTGAAGCGATCCCCACAAGAAAGAATGATGCTCGTACAGTGTGCAATTTTCTTATAAAAAATATTTTTACTAGATTTGGCACACCGCGAGTCATCATTAGTGACCAAGGAACTCATTTCATGAATAGGCAATTCTCTACTTTGCTATCAAAATATAGTGTGACTCACAAAACAGGAACACCATATCATGCTCAATCTCCAGGACAAGTTGAAGTTTCGAACCGCGAGTTAAAACGAATTCTTGAGAAGACGTTTGGAATTTCTAGGAAAGACTGGTCTTTAAAATTAGATAATGCATTATGGGCTTACCGAATAGCGTTCAAACGCCGATTGGAACATCCCCATATAGACTTATCTTTGGAACAGCTTGTTATTTGCCAGTTGAATTAGAACACAAAGATTTTTGGGCATTGAAAGCACTAAACTTTGATTTGACCTCTGCTGGTAAAAATAGGTTTTTTCAGGTTAATGAATTAGAAGAGCTGAGGTTGGAAGCCTATGAAAATGCCAGAATTTTCAAAGAAAAAATAAAAAATATGGCACAAAAACTTGATCCGAAAAAAGAATTTCAAAATTGGAGATAAGGTACTTCTTTACAATAGACGACTCAGGCTATTCCCTGAAAAATTAAAATCCAGATGGACAGGTCCTTACAACGTTACAAATGTTACTTCATATGGTGCTATTGAGATTCAGCAGATCAGTGTTGGAACAAAGTTTAATGTAAATGGTCACAGACTAAAATTATATTTTGGAGGGAAATTTGAGAAACAACCATCAGTTACTCTAATTGAATGAAGAATCGTGTAGAAAATAAGTCGAGCTGGCGACTCAGAACTACATTTTCCTACCTGTAGCCATTGAGGGTGAAGCAATGGAGCCTTATAAGTCTCGTATAAATTTGCATAATAAAATTGCCTAACCAATTGATCTGGTTAATAACCAGGTTATTGTACAATCAGAACATTTTATAAAGGCCTCTACAAACATAGAGTCACCTATACAGGAATAATTCCATGGTGATCAGTATGCCTGTAATGACCTAGCCAGTCGTTTGAGAGTTTGAGCCCCGATCCCCTAATAGCTGCTTTCCCCATATTTGTTTCTGCTTTTGGAATTTTGCCGGAGTGTTTGGTTATGGAATTCGGGGAGTTTTGGGACACTTAGTCCCTAGTTGTGAGTTTAAGCCTTAGAGTTTGGACCGTAGTCGAAACTGTGTGAAGACGGATCCGGAATGGAATTCTGTCATCTCTGTTAGATCCGTTGAGTGATTTTGAGGTTAGGAGCACGCCCAGAATGTGTTTTGGAGGTCTGTAGTAGATTTAGGCTTGAATTGGCGAAAGTTAGTTTTTCAGCGATTTCGGCTGATAGTGGAAATTTTGATATCGAGCTCGGAATCCCATTCCGAAAGTGGCAGTAGGTTCGTAGTGTGATTTTTGACCTGTGTGTAAAATTTGAGGTCATTCGGACTAGAATTGATGTGGTTCAGAGTCGTTTGTAGAATTTTAAAAAATTTAAATTCTTAGGCTTGAATCTGTGCTTAATTCATGATTTTGGTGTTGTTCGGCGTGGTTTAAAGGCTCGACTAAGATCGTAGGGTATTTTAGGAGTGGTTGGTATGTTTGGTTGAGGTCCCGGGGGCCTCGGGTGTGTTTCGGATGCTTAACGCGAAGAAACTTGGACTTAGGAAAAATTTGGTGCCTTTGCTGGTTCTGGTGTTTCGCACCTGTAGAAAAGAGACCGCAGGTGTGCGAGCCGCACATGAAAAGATGGAGGCGCAGGTGCGAGAAGAGCTAGACTTGGCAGTCTCCGCAGGTGCGGAGAATTTGTGCACATCAGCGAACTCGCACATGCGGAGATGGAAGCACAGATGCGAGAAGTCGAGAGTTGGCCTGGGGTCGCAGGTGCGAGGAAGTTCCGCATCTGCGATGCCTTCAAATGTGCAAGGTTGTTCGCAAATGCGCAAGATACGCAGAAGCGGAAGGGATGTCCGCAGGCGCGAGCGCACAGGTGCGGCCCATTATGTGCTTTATTTTCGTTTGATGTGACGTACAATCTCAAGTGTGAATGTTTTGAAAGATTCTTCACGTTGTTAAAATTTTTTTGGGAAAATTTAATTCTCGTGTCTGGTTAATGAGTTTGGACTCAAAAAGATTAAGTGATTTTATAGTAATTGTGGCTACGAAAGGGTATAACAAGATGTCAATTTGAGACTAAGCAGGTGGGTTATCTCCTGAGGAGCAATATATATAGGTGTGTTCCTTATGATGTGAATAGAGAGTTTCTTTTCTGCCAGCGGAGCGTATGTGTTGAGACTTGAATTTGAATCTGGTTGAGAAAGTTGACTTGAGTGTTAAGAGAATGAATGCGAGATTAGCGGATGATTGAGGTATTTTATGGTTGGTGTGTCTTGAGCTTGAGAAGAATTTTAGTTGAACTGACTACAGTATTATGGATGTAATAAAGTATGGGTATTGTGAGTTATCAAGTATTTTAATCTATGTCTTTGATCCAAGTGGGGGAGCCTGCTATTGACAATTCAATTCATGGTTATGTGTCAAATTCTTTTGTTATGGTCTGAAGTATACTTTGGAATCAGTGATGACTTGCAGAGGTGGAGTTCGAGAATGATTCGAGTAAGAAAATTTTGGATACGGAATATATTTCGCTTTATGGGTATATAAAAATCACGAGGTGAGTGAGTTGTTATTCGTGAATGATATAGTGTGCACGGAGTATGAATTTGATAGGTGGTATTAAAGTAGAGCTACTTCTTTGAGTGTTGTTATACTAATGGGGCACGTGTCTTTTGGCCCATTTGGGCGGTGTAATGTGGATTTGAACAAAGGGGGTGACTCTCGGGAAAATTCTAATGGATTCGAGATTAATATGTAACGATTGAGAATTTTTGGCAGATTTATTTATGGCTAAAATGTGAGATTTAAGTTGGATGGTGTCGAGACTTGTGGCATTTTTGTATATCATTATGGATTTAATATTTCGGTATCAGAAAGGTGAATGAAATGGTCTTAGACTCAAATAAGGTATTTTCAGAGTGAGTGTTATGGTTGTGGTACTTTTGTGGTGCTTAAGAAGAATAAGATGACTTATGGACCTTAGGACGGTATGGTTTTATGTTGGGATGTCTTATAGTGTGCTTTGGGTAAGGATAGTAGTGTTCTGATAAGGAGAAATGTCAACTTGAAGGTAATCCAAGAGAACCACGGAGGAAATAGGACCTTGGGGTTGTAGGCTAGACCAGTATGGTAATGGCATGCTCAGTTCTTTTGGATAATAATGATGTGGAGGCTTTATAGATGTTTTGGTGGTAATATTCTTGGGTTTTGGTGACCAGCGTGGCTTGGACGAGATAGAGGAGATTAGTTCTGATAGCTTGAATTGGTGGGAATGGATTTCAAAGTGTTCTTGATGGTTTCTACCATGGTTGGAACTGGATATTTTCTACTGGTATGGGAAAACGTGTTGTGCATTATGATTTTCTCCGGGAAAGAAGCAAGAGAAAAGTTCCAACTAATAGGGTATGTAATTTGCTAGTGACTCAGAGTTTATAATGAGATTCTTGTGTTTTTCACGTGATAGATGTGGTGTGTTGTGCGGGATAAGACTTATATGTACGAGGTGGTAGTTTATTCTTGAAAGTAAGATTACGGATTCTGAATGGAATGGTCAGTGTTATATATATTTAGGTGAATGTTATAGTTGCTCAGTAATCCCTGAGAAGGGTGCGCATTTCAGAAGGCATGTTGTGTTTTGACTTACGGATGTTCATCGATATTGTAGTACCCACCTGGTTGATAAACTGCTGATATTCAAACTATTGCTATTTGGCATGAAGGAATTATGAGAATATTCCTAGTGGGATGATCGTGCACGAAGGATGTGATAGCGATGTGAGTGTTGGAGTTGTGATCAGTTACGATAGTTCATGTGTACTTATTTGATTGCTCCCGTATGTTATGCTTGGATTAGAGGCATGTGACCATGCCAGGTGGATTATGTTATTGGCACATGAGTTGTCTGTGCGGATCCATGTACTGATATTTTTGGCACGTGAGTTGTCCGTGCGGGTCCAGATATTTATATTATTGGCACGTGAGTGGTCCGTGCGGGTCGAGATATTTATATTAGCACGTGAGTTGTCCGTGCGAGTGATGTTAATGTGATCTCTAGAAGAGCTGGTTACTGTTATTAAATTTGTGTGTCTTGGTTATACTATATATAATGAGCTTATAGCATTACAGTTGTGGCGGTGCTTGTTGAACTTACAATACGGTTCTCTTCTTTGAGATATTTTTCCATTTTTGAGTGCATAGATTGCCCAGTTTTTGGCTTGAGATATATTGGTGTGGCATGTATGTGAAATAGTGGTGTTTGATAAAATAAGGTCATTGGACCTAGAATGGATACTATCGGGTTGGATTCTGGTATATTGGGAGGATAATATTGTAGGTCGGCATAGAAAGTGATTATATCTGGGACTATGGTTATGGCTGGATACAGCTTGTTCATACTTATACAGTGTGTAGATGTGAGATTTGGGTATTGAAAAGAATTTTGGATGTTAGAAATTTGGATCCATG